ACCATGTAGTCACTAAAAGTGTGAGTTCTTTGTACACATCATATTGACATATTGATAGATAAGAGAGTTCAATGGTTCTATTACAAAACTTAGAGGAGCTCTCCTTTTAAGCACCTATTTGCATGAACATAGAAAAGAGACTGGAAGAGTACTCTGAAGGAATGTCAGCAGGGCAGGCTGATGTTGAAAGAGGGGAAAGTCTTTTTGTTCCTTTTAAAAATATCTTTAATAAAAAAATACCTTTAATAAACAAATGCTTTTGTTGTGTATCATCAAGTGAATTCCAACTCTACGTGACAGAGTAGAACTGCCGAAATAGGGTTTCCTAGGCCCTTGATCTTCTAAGGGACCAAATCACCAGGTCTCATCTCCCACGAAGCAGCTGATAGATTCGAACCTCCATTGTTCTGTTTAGCAGGCAAGCCCTTAACACTGTGACCCTGGTGCTCCTTAAAAAAATAGGAATATATGGTTAGGTATCATTGGCAGGACAAGAGTCCAGAATAAGAGTTGCATAGTAAAGTGAACTTGGGAAGGAGACTGTATAACAATGAAAGAACTTTTTTTCCAAAGAAAAAAACGAACTGGGGGAGGAGGGGGCCAAGGAGGAAAATGTGCCGCAATGAATGAATGGAAATCCAAGTTCTTTATAAACTTTCATTAAAATCTAATTTAAAAAAATAGACTACCATTTATCTCAATTGGAAAGGGAAAATGCTATTTCTGCATATTGAAGGAGGGTTTGCAGCCGCATCAAGACGGACATTTGCAGGCATATGCATTTTTTTTTTTTGAGGAGCAAGGATGGCCAAAATGCAACTAAACAAATATCAAAGCTACAGAATGGTGAAATTATATGACTAGCATTATTTAAAAATTTATAAATGCGACAAGTATGTAACTGCTTTTTAGAAGGCGGTGGCGTATAAATTATAGAGCACACAGAACGTACAAAGTCAACACAGTCAAACAACTTACAGAGACATCAGTGAAGGCAAAAGGAAGAGATAAGTACATCATTTTTAGATAAGAAAATGCAGTTTTATGACAGAGAAAGGCATATTTTTCCACTCTCATGGGTACAGCTGCACATTAAGCCAACTTTCAGATGGCATTATTCACAAGCAAAACTGTCTCCCAAGAAAGCAAACTCATTGCTGTTGAGTTAATTCTGACTCATAGCAACCGTATAGCACAAAGTGGGACTGACTACATCACAGGGTTTCCAAGAATGTAATCTTTCCAGAAGCTGACTGCACATCTTTCACCCACTGAGAAGCTGTAGCTTTGAATCCTTGACCTTTTGGTTAAGAGCCAAGCACTTGACCACTGAGCCACCAAGGATCTTTACAAGCAAAACTAATTACACTTAGTTCATGCTTTTTATTGAGCACATACTATGGTTCTCCTTGCAGAGAGAATTCCATTTGAATTCTCTCCCTCATCATCTTTATGGCAATCCCTCTTTATAGACCAGGAAAGGCAGGCAGAGATAGAGTTTAGGGAGCTTACTAGCAAGTTATACAGCTGGTGAACAAGAGGAACCCTATTGTACATAGGGTTTTTGAAGGCTTATTATTTCAGAAGTGGGTGGCCAATCCTAGTCTGTCTTAATTTGGATGCTCTGATTTAGAACACTATCTGACAGACAAGCATTTTACCAGAAGGAACAATTAGGTTCAGTGTTGGTCCCCCCCTCTTTGGCGTGTGTGTCTTGTCCCTTTTCCACTCCTCCAGCACGCCCTTCCCCTCCCGCCTACCCCAGCCAGCACCTGCCTCCCCCCATCCAGTCCTTGATATGATGGCTCAGGCCTCAGGTTACTTCTTTGATAGCTCATATCTAGTGCTGGTCTAGTGCTGGTCTCACACGCTGCTGCTAGTCTCTCGTGAGTTTAGGAGGCTCTAAGTCCAAATCCTATATACTAGCTTTAGGGAAGTATTTCTCTCTGAGTTAGTTCTGGGGAAAGGTCATTTCTCTGAGCTTCTGCTCCAGGACTTTCTTCTTGTGACTTAGTGTCTCTGATCTGTTTGCCGCACACTGGTGTCACAGTAAGAAAATTTCCCAGGTGAGGGTGATGTTTCCTCAAGATTTTGTAAGCTGGTGTTGTCTACTTGATTTGAGATGGCATAGGTGAATCTGTAATCTTCCTGCTTGCAAAACCCAGGGCTTCCCAAAACTGGGTTGGAGCACTTTTAATTCCCTGACTGTCAGCAAAGCCTGGTGGAATTCTGAGAAGATGGAGTACACAGAGTCACTGTAACAAACAAAAAGAATCTGCTGACATAGAAGAATGTAATGATACACCATATGATCAAGAGGCATTGATGATGAAGGAGAATGTTCAAGCTACTCTGAAATAATTGGCAAAAAACAAGGCCCCAGGAATTGATGGAATATCAGTAGACATATTTCAACAAACAGACGCTGCCCTGAATATGCTCACCAAGTTGTGCCAAAAAATCTGGAGGACAACCAGCTGGCCAACCTACTGGAAGAGATCTATATTTATTATCGTTAAAAAAAAAGAAGATGATGACAGTGTGCAAATTATTGAACAATATCACTAAAATATCACTGAAATTGTATGCAAAGTCCTATATGCAAAGATTACCCAAAAACAACTGGAACAGTACATTGACAGAGAACTACCAGAAATATAAGCTGGGTTTGGAAGAGGCCATGACACTAAAAACATTATCGCCAATGTCAGATGGATCTTGGCTAAAAGCAAAGAGTATCAGAGGAATGTCTTTCTGTGTTTCATTGACTATGCAAAAGCATTTGGCTGTGTGGATTACAACAAATTGTGGCTCACATTGAGAAAATTGGGAATCCCAGAATACTTGAATTGTGCTTATGTGAAACCTATACTTGGACCAGGAAGCAATGGTGAGAACAGAGCAAGGAAACACTGCATGGTTCAAAATCAGGAAAGAAGTACATCAGGGATGTGTCCTGTCTTCTCACTTTTTCAGTCTGTATGCACACAGATCATTGAAGAGGCTGGACTTTAGGAGGAGGAAAGTGATATCAGGATTGGAGGAAGATTCATCAGCGGCCTGAGTTACACAGATGATAAAACCTGCCGAAAAACTTGCTTGCTGAAACTGAGGGGAACCTGAAGCATTTGCTGTGGAAAGTCATTTGAAGCTCAGCATCAAGAAGACAAAGATTCTCACCACTGGGCCAATTGGTAGCAGCACCATGATAGATGCAGAAAAGATTGGGATTGTTAACAATTTCAGTTTATTTGGCTCCACAATCAATACTCTTGGCACTCAAGTCAGGAATTCAAAAGGTGAATTGCATTAAGGAAATCTGCTATCAGGGACCTCTCCAAAGTGTCAAAGGGAAAGAGCAATGGTCTCAGTATAGAGATTAAGGTGCACCTGATTCAGGCCATGGTCTCTACAATATTTGCTATGCATCAGAGATATGGACAATGTATGACAGAATAAATGTCTTTGAGTTTTAGTGTGGAGAAAAGTGTTGACCATATCATGAACTGCCAAGAGAACAAACAAGTCTGTCTTGGAGAGGGTAAAACCAAGATGCTCCTTGGAGGCAAGGATTTTGAAGCTCCGTCTCACGTACTTCCAACATGTAGCCAAAAGGGACAGGTCCTTGGAGAAGGACATCATGCCTGGAAAGGTGTAGGGGCAGCGTAGGAAAGAAAGACCCCAGATGAGATGGATTGACCCAGTAACTGGGATGATGGAGGTAGGTGTGCCGGAGACAATGAGACTGACTCAGGATAGGATAGTTCTATTGTATATAGGATTGCTATGAATCTCTAAAGACTCAACAGCACATCACAATAAACACAGGGACCATGATTCGTCTCAAAGAATCTCTTCTGTTACATGTTGTTGTTATGTGCTGTTGAGTCTGAACCAATTCATAGCTGATCCTCCAGCAGGTTTTCAGAGGCTATCAATCATGTAGGAGGAGATTGCCCATCTTTCTCTCTCAGAGCAATTGGTGAATTCAAACCACGTATCTTCAGGTTGGCAGCACAACTCCTTGCCTCTAAGTCACCAGAGATCCCTTCTATTATATGACTTCCTAAAAACACAAGAGAAAACTCACTCGGTGTTGGTGGAGTCTGCCTCACTAAACACTTCACTCACACTGAGAGTCCCTGTTTTGTGAGTGTCAGGGGAACCACTGAGCCCCAGAAATCTACAGAACTAAGCTGGGACTTTAGTTTTGCTCTCAGACAGAAATTCTCTGCTCCAGTCATCCACAGATCTCAAGACTGAGAGCTGAAGGTTTTCTGTTAGAATTAATATGAGGCCTTTGTGATGACTTGATAGAGCTGGGCTGTTGCTATGGCGCCCACTGGGTTGGGGCTCCCAGTCATCCTTGGAGTCAATTCACTCCCACTACATTTCCCACCACTTGATTGTGATCAAGACACCTACTTAGTCTCTACCTCTTGTTTCTAGAGGCCCTCACTCTTCAATTTGTCAGCTCCAGCTGCTTACCGGTTCACATTCGCCTTCCCTCTTTCACCACCTCACCCTTTTCTCATTTCTCAATGCTTTCATTCCCAGCACTTCCTCCTGTTACCTCTCACTGCTTCTCTGGGCTGCATTTTCTCCCCTCTTGGTTTCACTTGTCTCTCCTCTCTGGCCTTTAGACTCATTTCTCTACATTCTCTCCCAGTCCTGGCCTCCCTCCTCACCTCTTTTTCCCTTCCACAGCTCTACTACATTCTTTGTGCTTCCTTCCCTTTCCTCACTCCACCATTTTGTTATTTTGTCCCTTACATTTCCTCTCCTTATACTCTCTTGCTACCTTCCTTTCACCCCCTAATCTCTTCCTTCCTTTCATTTACCTTATTCTCTTTGCTTTGTGCCCATCAGTTGAACTGGGCCAGCTATATTCAGAGAAAACCATGGAGTCTCAGGACAAAAAGAAAAAGTCAAAGACTTTTGCTGAGAAGGCTGTAAGCAAAACATCCATTAAGAAGCCTAATACCCAAAGGAAAGCAAACATGAAGAAAAAGAAAAAGATTGACAATATCGAGAATCTAAAGAAGGAAGTGGTTATGGTGAGAACATTTCAGATGATTGCTGCCCAATTGCTCTCTAAAAACGTTCCCCGTCAACCCTTTTAATCTTACCTTGAGAACTAATCACGTCTTCCCCTGGATGTTTCTTCTCCCATCCCCTGGAAATGCTCTGGGCTCACTCCTTTTCCTCAATGACTCTACCCCCTCAGAATGATCACAAATTAACCTTGGAAGAGCTGAGTGCCAAGTATTCTGTGGACCTGGAAATGGTGAGTGAAGGAACTCCCAAGGGAAGCAGAGAGCCCTGACTCTGATGCTAAGGCTACCAGAGTGAAAAGGGACCTAGAAATCAAGCCCCTTTACCTGGAAACCATGTTCTTGCCCCTTAACATCCTATAAGAATAAGTGTTATGGGACAAAGGCTAGAAAAAGATGATTCTACAAGTAACTACTCCCAAAGAACTCAGTACTGGTATCTAAAAGAGCAAGAATGGTCTAGTGAAGTGATTGTGAAACTTTTGTACTCAAGATCCCTTAATAGTCTTAGAAATTACAGAATATCCTCAAGAATTTCTGCTTATGAGAGTTGCATTTACTGGCATTTAGTGTCTTAAAGATTAAAATGGAGACACTGAAACTATATTTACTGGATTATTTAAAAATAAGTTTAAATCCATTATATATTAGTAAAAGAATGTTTTTCTGATAAATAACTATTTTATTTAAAAAATCCATAATGCTATTTTACATTTCCATTAACTTCCTTTTTGTCCCTATTTCAAATAGAAGATAGCCAGATTTCCACATCTTTTCCGTAGTCAGTTTTGTTGTGATACCACATGTCATGCAGTCCTTGGAAAACATGACCACACATCTTAAGAGAATGGAAATGAAAAAAGCAAATAATGACTTAGTGCTATTGGGAAAATGACTTGCCTTTCTGGGTCCCCTGAGGGGTCTAGGGACCCTAGAGTTCTCCAGGCCACACTTGGAGAACTCGCCTCACCCTACTGCCCTCAAGTTGCTTCCACATCTTTCGAACTCCATTGGGTTCCTGTGGCTGTAAATCTTAACAGCCTCAAGGAGACTGCCCATCTTCTTCCATCAAAGCAGCCGGTGGATTTGAACCATCAGAGATACAACCTTTTGATTAGCAGCCCAACACCCAGCAGACTAGACCGCCCACAGCGCGTTGTCCTCGAGAAAAGGCCAACTTCACTTTTAGATTAGTCATTAAAGCTAAAGGGGAGCAGGGCATGCCCATTCAGTTGTACCACAAAAGAAAACGTCTGGCAATCTCCTTCAATTTAGATTACTGACGAGAAACAAAACCTATGGAGCATTCTACTTTCCACATAGTGGGTCACCATGAGATAAAATTGACTTGACAGCAACTAACAACAACAAAAAGTAGTGACAGTTTTTACTCACTTTTAATAACACAAAACAAAAATATTCTACAAGGTTCTTATTCAGCATTTACCAGGCCCAAGAGAGATGTTTTGAAACATTTATATATTATTTGTTGTTTGTTGTTATGTGCCGTCAAGTCGTTTGCGACTCATAGCGACCCTATGTACAACATCCCTAAACCCTGCTCTATCCTGCGCCAACCACACCCCCTCTGACACACCCATCCCGATTACCCCAGTCACTGAATCAATCCACCTCATGGAGGGTCTTCCCCTCCTGCGCTGTCCCTCTACTCTACCCAGCATGATGTCCCTCTCCAAAGACCTGTCTCTCCTTGCAACATGTCCAAAGTATGTCAGACAAAGCCCCAGAATCCTTGCCTCCAAGGATGAATCTGTTTGTTTTCTTGGCAGTCCATGGTACATTCAATACTCTTCTCCAGCACCACAGCTCAAAGGCGTCAATTCTCCTTCTGTCCTCCCTAGTCATTGTCCAATTCTCTGATGCATAACAAGTGATTGCAAAGACCATGGCCTGTATCAGGCGCACCTTAGTTTCCAAAGAGACACTGTTGCTCTTGAGTACTTTAGAAAGGTCCCTAACCACAGACTTTCCCATTGCAATACGTGTTTTTATTTCCTGGCTGCTGGTGCCAAGAGTGTTGACTGTGGAGCCGAGCAAATTTATATATTAACCTATAAATTAAAAACCCTTCCTATCTGAATACTCTAAATGCTATTCTTTCTTTAATAGTATTCCTTGTACAAATTTTAAAGTCCTACCCTATCTTGGAAGGACTCTCAGACCTTCAGAGACCTTCTTTCATGTGTGAATAGCAGAACTAGAATCGGAAGCTGGATTTCCTTTCATCATAATGGCTTCTATTTTCACTATTTCTCTCATTTCTCTCCCATACAGGGCCTTACCCCTGAACAAGCACAAGAAATTCTAGAACAAGAAGGACCCAATACACTTACTCCACCCCCCACCACTCCAGAATGGGTCAAATTCTGTAAACAAATGTTTGGTGGCTTCTCCATCCTGCTATGGACTGGTTCCATTCTCTGCTTTGTGGCGTATGGCATCCAGTTCTATTTTCATGATGCGTATACCAATGATAATGTGAGTTTGTTCAACTACTAGTGCTCTGCACAGCACAACCCAGACCCTACTCAGCCTCTGATACCCTCTTGCTCAGCACCTAGGACTCCTGACATCCCCTGGCCCAAATCCTTCCTACACCTAGGATTTTCTACCATAAGCCTCTTTTCTGTGTTGGTGTTTCTCACTTTGTATCTAGAAAGCTACTGGCCCAGCACTGCAGGACTCATCATTTCCCCAGAAACCTGCTCCCTTTCAATTATCTACCCAACTAGTAATCACTCACCTAGCAATCCCTTCCTCACTTCTCTAAAAGTCCCTCACCATGCCCCCCTTATCTGCCATAAGTAACCATCTTAGAGAGGAAGTTAGGCCTTCTCTGATCTAGGATTTTGCCGCCATCCTCACTATAGCTCGGTTACTTCACAAAAACCCCAAGTGTGCTGGCCCCATCTCAGGTTCTTTTCCAACTGAGCCCTCTGGCTTCTTCTGCTTAGAGGAATGACCATCACCTCTGCAAAGTGATTTTCTGAGGATAGAGAGGAAGAAAACGATCCTCTGGTAAATCCTTTCTCTCCAGCTGTACCTGGGCGTGGTGCTAGCCATTGTGGTCTTTATCACTGGCTGCTTCTCCTACTATCAAGAAGCCAAGAGCTCCAGGATCATGGATTCTTTTAAGAACATGGTTCCTCAGGTAGGGCTGGTGTGGGAGGTTCCTGTGAAAGGAGACGGAGAAATACACGGATGTGCTGTCCTATAGTGAGGGAACTCGATGAGCCTGGCCAGAGGGGTCTCTGTCAGTGGCTTCAGAAGCACCTGGGGAAAGGCTGTGGGGAAAGGCTGTGATATCCTGAGAAGGACACAGAACCACATACAGAGTAGACGGTCCTGAGAAATGTAACTTGAGTCTAATCATTAGGCAACACCAAACAAAACCCAAATAAGAACCTTCTAGAAGGCCCTTAGACACCCTTCAAATCTGGAACTGAATTCACTCCTAGGGATCACCTTCCAGCCAAACCATAGACAGACCTAGACAGTGGGAAAGAGAAAGGGTCTGCGAACGAGAGGAAGACCCTCAATAAGATGGTTGACACAGGGACTACGAAAATGGGCTCACGCATTTGAGGATGGTACAGAGTAAGACAAGGGTCAGACCTGTAGCTCATAGGGCTGCTCTGAATCCCAGTGGACTTAACACAGAGTGAACAATAACATCCATGAAGAGTGTGTTCCTTGGAATAATCAAGGAGATGAGACCAAATGGGCAACACGTACCCAAAAACAAAACTCAGAAGACAGGACAAGGAAAGAAAGATGGGTGAATGGAAATGAGGAAACCAGAGAGGAAGTGGGGAGAATGCTCTTGTAAGGAGGAAAGCATGTAAGCATGTAAGGAGGAAATTGCAACTAAGGTCACAAACCAAAATGTGTATAAATGGTTGAATGGGAAACTAATTTTTCCTGTAAACATTAACTCAAACAAAAATAAATGTTAGAGAGAAAAGTGGGGAGTGTAGTAGGGTAAGGAGCTGGGTTCTTCTAAAAGTCAATGACATAGAAGACAACAGCTGTGTAAATATTCCAGATTAAAGGAGGCTAACGGGATTTACCATTAAATTCAATACCTCGCTTTACATGAAATCTGAACTGGAGAAAGGGAAAAAAAAATTATAAAGGATATTGGATAAATTGACCAAACTAGAATACAGACAGATTTAACAGTTGTACTGATGTGAAATGGACTAGTTGGGGAAATGGTTTTGTGGTTGTGTATAAGAATATCCTACTTTTTAAGAAATGAAACTGAAATATTTAAGGTAAAATTTTGTGGTATCTGTAACTTAACCCTCAAATGGCTCAGAAAACAAGAAACCGGGGGTGTGTGTGTGTGTGAGAGAGAGAGAGAGAGAGAGACAGACAGACAGACAAAGCAAGCACAAAAGATAGAGCAATAAGATACAATGGTAATAAGTGAGTCTTGGTAAAAATCATACAGATGACCTTAATACTATTTTTATTCTTTTAACTTTTATGAATATTTAAAATTATTTTCAAGTACCAGGAGATAAAATGTCAGTGGACAGGGCTGTTAAACACTGGCCTGAAAAGTTGCAAAGGAACAACTTCCACAATTTCTCAAGCACATGATTGGATGCTAGCATTATAGCCCAGGATTTTCTTCTTCCTTTCATGATGAAAAAAAAAAAAAATCTAATTTTTGCTTTGCATAGTACTTAAAGTGCTTTGGTAGAGTGGTCTAAAAGAGTGGATAATATATTGGTTATCTTTTGCTGCCTGAAAACTATCCCCAAACCTAACGGCTTTAAACAGCAAATATATTACTTCTCACCATTCTGTAGGTTGGCTAGGATTTTGTTTAGTCTATGCTGGCATCATGTAAGACTGAATCGTCTCAGGCTAAGTCACTCTCACGTTCATAGCCTCAGCTGGGATAACTGAATCGTCTCAGGCTACCTCACTCTCAAGTTCATAGCCTCAGCTGGGATAACTGAATCGTCTTGGGCTACCTCACTCTCTTGTTCATAGCCTCAGCTGGGATAACTGAATCGTCTTGGGCTACCTCACTCTCTTGTTCATAGCCTTGGCCGGGATAACTGGAGCCAGGGCCTTTTTCCTCCTAGTTCCCCTCCTCTGAGAGGCTAGCTCAGGCTTGTTCACATACAAGCAGGTTTCCCACACTACAGAGCACCAACCTCGATGTTCTGCTACCTCTCATTTTATGAGAACCCAATGATTAAGCAGACCATGTGGCCAAACCCTGATCCAAAAGGTAGAGAGAAAAGACTCCACCTTTTTTTTAAGGATTAGAGACGGTTTAATGGTTGTGATTGTCTTTTTTTTTTTTTATGCAACTCAAGTTTTATTTTTATAGTGGTCTCTTCGATGATTTTTAGAAATGATATACTTAGTCATATCACACTTTGTAAAACTCTGCCCCAAAACATCCAATTCCATTCTTTATCCGAAACACAGAAATTATAATTGTGCTCAAAGAGAAAAAGCAGTCTTTCTGATTTTTCTTAGGGTTTAGTAGAATATAACTAACTGATTCTTTGTCAGCCTGGGGTATTCTTCCATACTAGAAAAATCAACTATACAATTATGGGATATGTGCAAATGGGTATATACCAAAGAACTGCAAAACTTTAATCCGTATCTACTTTCAGTTTGTTAAATAATTCCTTGAGTGGCCACTGAAGGAAATAGCATCCTTGTAGACCAATCACAAATGTCTAATTCTTAGAAAGACAGTTCTGATTGTACTGATCCAAATAATGCAGTGGCAGCAGGCTGGGTAGAGAGATCACCAGCTTTTGGTTTCTCCAAAGGCCATCTTGCTTGACTTGGGAGGGCTTGGGAACACCCACAAGTTATCTTCCAGAGAATTTCCGGCACAGGAGCTGTGTTCCGCAAAGTGAGTCTGGTTTTCTCGACGCTGCCACTGCTGCTTTGCCAGCGAAGGCAGCTGCTTGGGGAGCACCAAAACAGGGTGTCCATGGCTCCCAGCTCACCTGCGCCAGGGTGGGGGGTGGGGAGACATCCAGAGGACACCTACTGGCTGGTCAGCGCTCACCAGACCTGGGTTCGCCGTTCAGGACCTGCGTGGGCTGGCAGGCATGCTGTGGGCAGAGCAGGCAGAGGAATACACAAGGGGCCCAAAACCATGCAGGGCACAGCCACTCTTCAATTCTGATGCCACATTCCTCATAAAGTTCAGCGTCCTGAACGACAGGATGCATCCCTGACAGACACATTTCCTGATCTTGAATCATGCAGTGTGTCCCTGCTGTTCTGACTGCTGCTTTTTTAGATTTCGTTAAGCACAATCAGGTGTTCTGAAATTCCCAATCTCCTCAAGGTTAGCCACAATTTGTTGTGATCCAGTCAAATGCCTTAGTCAAAGAAACACAGACACTCCTCTGGTACTCTCTGCTTTCAACCAAATCCATCTAACGGTGGCAATGATGTCCCCAGTGCCACTGCCTCTTCTAAATCTAGCTTGCACATCTCATAGTTCTCTGCTGATGTACTGGTGCAGCTGTTTTGGATAATCTTCAGCAGGCCCTCGCTTGTGTGTGTTA